CTGAGCATTGCAGAAAATTTTTTATACTTTCAAGTTGGAAATCAGTATCGGTTTGCGAAATTGTACTAATCTTCACCACAGTCTCCAATTAGCGATATTCTGAATACATCATGGATTTTTTAAAACACCTCGGTAAATGTACATTTAAGCGGGGCAGTGTATTTTATACAGGGGTGGCCAAAAAAAAGAGACACTCAGCCCATGGCGCACATCATCGAACTTTTCGTCACACAGGGAGCCGATGTTAATGAAAGTTTTATGGCGTTATATTCCTTAGTTGTTCCTCCGTAAACAGAAGCAAGCACTCCTTCACTGCCCCTGCCGTCTCCAGAATATGACGTCATCTGCCGTCACCGTCGAGCTCAACGAGGCTTACCGAAATCGCTCCGACCTGAAGCTGCTACACAATTTCCTCAGTGAATTAATTGTTGAATAGCTTCCAGAGACATTAGCTGTGAATGTGCAAAACCGCTTTTGACCTGCGTTTCAGAGACGTCGTAATCGTCTATGGTATCTCAACGACCTCGTTGAGATCGTACCGCGCACAATGCTTCCGTGGGAAAATCTTCTGATGTCGTCGGTGTAGAAGGCTGTTGTGTAGCTTGTTGATAGATTATAAACGTGCTCTTCAATATTCAGTTGGGGTCATTTGGTTTGGTTTCGTGACGTAAATAATTCCCTTTCAATTGTTGGCTGAAATGTCTATTTTTTTGGCCACCCTGCATATCGGCGTAGCTCCTACGCTACCACGCGCATCACACGATATTATAACTGGTAAACTTCCTGTGTTGATTCTGATTCGAATACCTTAGTGATTGAATTGGTTTCACGGCTACCATTTTTCTAAGCATAAATTTTCGATAGTTATTAAGTTAACATCAGTAGTTACTGGCGAATTCCAAGGCGAGGCTAGTAAATAGCCAAACTTGCACGGTTAACGGGCAGTTTTAATGAGCACGTAACGTGGAGGTGCAAGCTTTGCCGATGATGGTGGAAATCGCTTCTGTGGCACTTAGGAGACCTATTAATGAAGCTGTGAATGCCAGGAGAGCTGCAGTTCCCTGGCAGCCGTGGTTGCGTAGCTTGTGTTACACGCAGCCGTAGAACGCGCAGGAAGGGCTCGCTGGCAGAAAACGGGACACGGATGGTTGACATACTATGTGTTTGGAGAGACGCAGGTGGCCCGTTACGCGCAGCAAAAAGCCCTTCAGAGGACATCTTGGAGTTGGCCAACGTCAGACTGTGTAGTGTGCGATGGGCTAAACACGGTGTTAGGACAAAGAAAAATGAGGCACCCTGCATGATTTATCAGTTGCTCGTAGCGCTTACAGTCGTTGGTGTTGGATCAGTCGTGGGACCAATACCGTGATAAGTCTAATGGTTAGCAACCTTTGGAAGCTATTACCCGCTATTATCAACACCCCTTTCTCCAACTTGCTATCTGTGTTTCCGCATACGAAACCTATGACGCTGTCATCGCAAAGGACACAACGAAACTAGTCGTCTCACACACTGACCCTTCGCTCAACACTTACCAGCAGCTATTATTTTCTTTTACCCAGGTTCTTGTTCAACCCTATACCACAATCATGGACGAGCGTGACAGAGCAGGGCGCCTAGACTGCAGGCAAGGTGGTTGCCTGCAAGCCGCTCGCTATATGCGCAGCAAAAAATGTTTTTTTTTTTTCCCTCCCTCAAGTGAATTACGAAGACAATGCCGGTCTGATTATATATCTTGGCTTGGACATCGGTATCAAGCTTTTAGCGATAGAACTTTTTTGTTCTGAGCTCTTGCTCAAGTGACTCTATTCAAACTTCTTCCCTTAATTTGTCGAAAAACGGAGAAGTTTCTGCCGAAATGACGTTTCGAGCCAGAATTGGGTCAGCGTTTTGAAACATTCAAGGGTTTGAAGCACTGAACCTTAAGACGAAGTTATCAAACACAAAGAGGCACCAAAATTTATTTTAAAAGAGTCCCAAAAAACTTGCAAAATGTTCAAAAACTCCAAAAATTTGCAAGTTTTTGGGACTCTTTTGAAATAAATTTTTGGTGCCTCTTTGTGTTTTGATAACATTTAGGTCCTGAGGAGGCTCCGGGACAGCACAATACTGAGAGATCTTAAGACGAAGTCTTATCACTCATCCTCTTTTAACTGTATACATTGCCGAACTCCCCAGGAGGGTATGAGGAATGCTAGACAGGTCGGCGGGTAGGGGGATAATAATCGTATTTGGTCAGTATCAAAGTTGGAAGCTGCTATATACCTTTACACTTATTGGAAAACGAAGAAGTGGTTGGTCTGAATTGTTTTTGCACAAAATGGTCATTAAAGGACGAATTCACGATCAGAGGGAAAATCGAATTAGGAAGAATTCACCTGGTTGAGGGACCCGCGGAGCTCCTAAGTGTGCGAACTGAAGCACAATTTGCACAGGAGGAGTTGACCTCGTTGACCTATTAAGGTTTAATCCCGCCGCGGCTGGTCAGTGCACGCCCACCGATCATCTGATCACTCGCCGCAGGTCTATACGTGGTGAGTGATTAGATATACTCGATATCTCGAAGTCAGATTAGGCGTGTCTATGGGTTTGACGTGGCGGCCGCCGCATTTGATGGAAGTTGCGCGGATAAGCATGCTCTGCTGATATCCAATGGAGTACGTTAGAAACAGCCTATCCTCACGGCTTTTATCAAGTGCGGCAAAGGCCACGTCAAATCCATAGCCACGCCTAATCTGACTTCGAGATTTCGACTATAGGTGAGAGAGCGTAGCGTTGAAGAGGGCACAGCGATGAGAGTCGCATCAATGCTCAAATCAACGGGCAAGGAAGGGGTCCCATTTCTCGGGTTCTGGGCCGATGGTTCTTCCTTCTTTCGTGTACCACTCACCATCCTAGGTTAATTTGAAATGGGTTGCCTTTCCAGCGTGAATTCGTCCTTTAAAAGGAGCTATAATCGTTGAAGGAGTGAAAATGCAGCGAAGAAGAACCTCTCGGCGATGCACGGGCAAAGCTCCTCAACCGAGCCATTGGATAAAGGGTAGGACGAGCAATCAAGGAAGCGCACATGAGAAAACTTGCGATTTTGGGGCACCTTGCATAAGCTTTTAGAGCTGCCTTCCATGAAGAGGGCGGGCCCGGTCTGTGTGGAGTGATAGCATTGTGGCTGAGACCTTTTAAGCAACGATGCTACATACAGATCGGTACAGGAGTCCAGTTTCTCACCTCACCCCAGCTAGTTGTAGACATCCCACTGTCAATCTTTTCTGATGAAACGCTCTTGATTGCAGCGACTTCGCCCTCCTCCTGTGTGCCCACGCACGGCTTCCCGTTTCTGTAGCGCATAAATGCACTAGCACAGAGTACCCGCAACTTGCTTTCATGAAGTCATGCTTTTTTGTTCGGTTCAGGTTTCACGCAACGGGAAATTGAGCGCGTTTTCCAAAATTGACTCGTCGCTGCTGCATTTCACATTCTTAGAGACTACCAATTTCGGGATCTTCAAAGGAAAGACCTCCATTGAGTTTTATATGGCTTGGTTTCCAATCCTATTACACATTCCTCCTTCCAACAATGTGACTAGAAGCCTTACTCTACCTATCTCAGCTTGACCGCATATCGAACTTCTAGGCAATAAGAATTATAAAAAAACGACTAAAAAGCTATACCACGGGCTTACTTATGCTACAAAGCCGTCAGACTTTACTGAGGCTTACTTTTTTCGAAAACCCGATATGCGTCCTAAAACTGGTCGCACTACTTTAGAATGGAATCAGGCGCTCAGCGGGTTAGTGGTAACCAGTGCCCACTTCACCGAGAGGTCCGGCTGCGTTCATATTCCACGTCACGAACGCAGACCTGGTCATGAGATGCCCATGTTCGCTCTCTCATTTTCTGTGCTCCGCACTTGTTGATGGCCTACAAAGAAGAAACAGAAACAGAACTAGCACACCTGCTCTATGATCTGAAAATGTACACAACTTTTTTATTCACTGCCGTGCTCAGACTGACCGTGCACCCGCGGCCGATGCGCTATAGAGCGCTGAACGGCAGAGCAGCTTAACACGTTGACGACAGGCTGACGCGCATGCGCGTCAGAACTTTTGCAACCGCATCGGACATTCTGACGCGCATGCGCGTCAGAACTATGCATTCATTTTTATTGTGCTTGCGCTCCTTCTTCTCGAGTTTTTTGTATTCATTCTATAGATAATACATTAGCATAACTATAAACCACATGGCAGCCAGAGTGGTCAAATATCCCTTGATTTAGCAAAGATTTTCTGAACGCACAAAACTTTCATTTCAATTTTTTTCCTAGTATTCCTTTCACTGTCGTAAACATTCATATGAAAGATTGTAGAAGCAGTTAATACAAAACTCTGTGAGTTTCAAGATATTTGTATTTGATGGAAAAACTTAGGTATAAATGCTTTTAACTTCATTCGCAGCGAAAGTGATGTTTTTTGCTTCTTCGTGGTCATTATGCGTTCTTCTAAACAAAAATCTACTGCTATTTATATAGTTAACCTTTATGCTTTCATCCTTGCCGAAATAATTCTATGAGATTCAAGTTGTTGTGCATTTTAAACAAAAAATAAGCGGAAGTAAGGTGAGGACGGCGCGCTCGCAAAATCGCTCCTGTCCCACGCGGTGCAAAATGCCAAAACACGCGATGTCGTCAACGTGTTAACGTTGTGCATATTCACAACTATTGTATCCCTATATATAGCCCAGGAGTATGTATACACAACAATAGTATGTCTACATACTCCCGGGCTATATGTAGAGACGCCAAGAGCAGTAGATGTGACTGTGCACAGCGTTAAGCTGCTTTGCTGTTCAGCGCTCTGGAATACTTGCCGAGCTCACCCCGTAGTAATCACCGCATTCTTTGACACCCTGTAAATACTTTGATTCGCTGGATTTTGAACTTCGTTAGTTGTTTTGGTTGGCGTGATCACCGTACATAAGCCATGTGGGAATTTTCTTTCCTAGCAATGGTTTCGACATGGGATTTGCTTATGATTGGAGCAATTGTTCCGGGGATACTGGGCAACGTCATTCTACCGCCAGGTGAACACTTCCACAACAGCTAGTAAGTTGGATGGTATTCTTCATTTTTCAGCCGATTCCGCAGACAAGGATGTTTCGCCCGAAATTTCTATCCCTAGTACAAATGCGACAGAACTGCTGGATTCTTTGGAAGTATTACGTAATTGTTATCTGAAGGAAACAAACAAACTGGTCAGAATTCCTTTTGTTTCAGCAAACGTTTATTCTCACTAGCAGTTGTGTTTTCACCAAAAGTACCCTGGCCTAAGCGTCGCGTACCATATCCCACCGAGCCGAAATTTTGATGCAAATACGTTTGTTACTGCAACTGACACACCAGAAAGGGTTATTCATATGGGGTGTGATTCACTGGAACAGACTTTTTACTTTTTTTTTAATGGAACAGACTGGAACGACTTCGCAAAACATTTTTCGCTGCAAGAACCTCACATCCACCGCTGATCACGAGTGAACCTCGAGTTCCTGCAGCGAAAACATTTCGCGCGCGAAACGCGAAAAAACCGCTTTTTGTCCTAGGGCCGTATGCTATGCTTCCCCGAAGCTAGGTGATCCAAAGTTTCCCTTTAAATTTATTTGTTTTGAACGATATAGTTTCTTCATTTTCAGTGCATGTTTACTTTAACCTACATACATACATTAAATGTAGGCCCTTTATCAGGGCAATCCCAGTTGGGAAGACAGAGAAAATTTAAAGGGATTTTCGTCCCCCAACCCTTCGGGAAGCATAGCATACGGCCCCTGGTAAACCATCCACTCAGATAAGCTAGTGCTCTTCCATTTCTTAAAGCAACAGTCCCAGCAGGGTTTTTACCTTCGACACTAATGGTGTGGAACGATGCGCTAGCCCTAGTCAAGAACATAAAAAGTGTGACTGAACAAAAAACCTTGGAAAGCCGCTAGAAAGGGAGCTGAACAGCTTCGAAGTGGGCGTGGTTATCAATCGGCCGAGGGGATTGCAGCCGACTTAACCACGCCCACTTCGAAGCTGTTCAGCTCCCTTTCTAGCGGCTTTCCAAGGTGAGTTTTTTGTTCAGTCACACTTTTTATGTTCTTGACTAGGGCCTACTTCCATTCCATTAGTGTCGGAGGTAAAAACTCTAATATGACTGTTGCTTTAATGATTCGAGGCGAGCGCGGCCGAATTGATAGTGAGCGCGAACTGTGCTAAGGAGTTTTTCAAACCTACCCGCAACTCGTCCGCGCTCGCCGCGGCAGCACCCCAAATCGTTAAGAAAGTGGGGGAGCCCTAGTGCACGGGCAACGGTTTTAACTTCCGCGCCGCTGCAACTATCCCTGCCTAAGAGTTGGTACCTTGTTAGGTTGGGAAATCCTGCTCATCGTTTGGAAGAAGCTTGGGTAGAATTTCAAGAGTGAAACTAAAGCTGGTTTGCAATCGATTCTTCAGGATACAGGCAGTGATGATGTTGGCAATTCCTATCCTCTGCCATATATCCATCTTGACAAACTCCAAAGAAGTATTGCAGACATGGAAATGGATTTGAAAGCGAAATATTTCCTTTTCTATGAGGTGATTGGTAGTAGTTGTTGTCTGGTAGATTTGCTTCAGCTCTTCATTTCTGCAGGTGATGAGCAGTTTCAACCATTCAACGAATAATGCACATGGTCCCGGTGAAGCATTCTCCGTGTAAGTGCACCAGTACATAGCTGCAGTAATTATACCTCTCATGCCATCGCACTATTTTCAGATTGGTAAACACTTTGCACGAGTTACCAGAGAGGATTCGTGAAATACTCTTCGACTACTTGAACTTCGGTGGTTAGTGATAAGAACCGATGACGGCAGTGTTCGACTGAAGGCAAACCCCTGTATAAACTGGTGTATAAGAGCGCATGACGTGATGATTGGTGTTGTAGTGATGAGTGAACTGCGGAAGGGATTGAAAGTGGAAAGGAAAGCAAGAGAAACCATTGGAAACGCTGAAATTAAGGCCTTAACCTTCAGTAAGGTCGGATGTGGTACGATGGCGAGACAGGGCGATCAAAGAAGACAAAACACGCGAGAGAGCACGCCGTTTGAGAAAGCACGCTGATTCTTGCATCAAACGCGGTGGGTGAGGGGCGTTGCAACGGTGATCGGTGATTGCAGGCCCTTTAGGATGAGCACCTTGATGCACAGGTTATGCGACGAAGCTGGCAAGAACTATGAAGATACGAACCCCACAATTCCCCTTGCGGTATCCCTGCCACTAGTCGTGCTGATCCCGGAGCTTAGCCTAGAGACATCTTGCAGAACCAAAGCGCTCCACTCATTGAATATTCGTTTGAAAATAATGGATAACAATGAATTCGTATTTTTGCAGAGCAATCCGGGAACACGACAAATCATCAAAGTGCGACTTCTACAGACAGTGACAGCAGAGGGAACGAAGAGGATGCTGAGCCAGATCAAGATGATCCAGGCGACATAGAGAAGTCATTGAAAATCGTCGAGGCTTCTCTAATCGCGGCCAGTCACTCGCTGCCTGAA